CTGTTTCTGCCATCGTCACAGTGATGATGATAAAGGTGAAGATACGAAAGGAAGCAATGTCACAAAACATGAAGGCAAAGAAGATCACGATAACAAGAAAGATGATAACAGCGGTGATATTTTAAAAGATGAGCAGCACGGTAAAGATAGTCATGAAGGGAAGAACAAGAGCGTAGAAGTTGGACATGAAAAGGATTCTAGCAAAGAAGATAATGAGAAGGAGAGCCATAAAAAGGAAGGTCATGCAGAAGGCCATCATGGCAAAGATGACCAGAACAAGGATCATCATAGTGAAAATGATCATGAAAAAAAGGATGATCACAAGAGTCATAGAAAGGAAAATCATGAAAAACAAAGTCATGAAAAGGATGTAAAAAGTAAGTTAGCAGTTTTTCTTTTTTGGAGTTAATAAATGAAAAAATTACTAAAAATTACATTAGCCTTAATAACTTGACGCCTATTACTATTCAGTAATCTTACTTGATATTGTGTTTTCTATATTGGAACAATCAAATAAACACTTAAAGGCACTTTTCATCAAACTGTGTGTTATAAACTTAATAACAATTTATAAGAGCAAGAGTAATTCTAACTCATCAAAATTAATCAGTGCGAAGAGAAGTACATTTGAAACTTTCTTTTCAGATGAATCCGACAATAAAGAAGACAAAGTGGTAAAGCAATGTTTTTAGTATAATTGACACAATTAATTTAATAAAAGAATAATTATTTATCAACTTGGAGATATTTAAAACTTTAAATTTTAAAGAATACTTTTCTAGCATTGATCTCAGTGCAAGAGAAGCAACAATTTTTTTATCACTTTTAATTTTAATGCATATAGATATTTAATTGTGATGAGGAGCTATATTTTGTCTTAGTTGTTTTTCTGATTTCCAATGATAATCAATATTATTATTATTATTATTATTATTATTAGGAAACACTTTTTTAGAACTTTCAAGAAGTTCATCAAGTAATTTTGAATGAAATAACAGTAACTCTAGATAACAAATGATTCTAAGAAGTAATCAGAAATTAATTTATTAAATTATTGTAAATAAAAAAAAATGTTTCAAAAAAATAATGTTTTTTTCAGCCCAATGACCCGGTTACGAAGCTGCTATTCTGAAGTTTCAGAATGTATTTAAGGTTTTTTCATTCAAACAACCATCAAATCATTTTATTTATTCTCATTTTTTATGTATCATAAAAGAAGACAAATATACAAAGAAACTGTAATTAATAACTAACTTCAAAAATTCATTAACATTTCTGACTTTATTAGTTATTAAATAATAACAAAAAAATATTTAACCATTACTTATTACTATTTACACTAAAACAAAAGAACCAAAAATATTTCTACTTTTTGAAGCTAAATATTTATTTAAATTGTAGCTAAAATAAATTTAAAGCAGTAAATAGAAAACATAAACTGCTTTTTTAAACTAATTTGTAAGTTATTACATAAATGCACCAATTACAATAAATTTTTCAGCATTCTGTGGATACATTCGATTTAATCAGCTTCAATGAAGTTGCTTTCTGTACTGTCATATTGAGCTCAATCAGTAGTATGAAACTAAATAATAAAATATGGGCCAAGCAGCTTTATTTTATGATATCGACAATATTCGCACTTATAGCAAATTA